GTAGAAAAAAAAAATATAAGACACTGTCTTACCTTCGGGGAAACACGGTAGTGATGAAATTACCAGCAATTTTTTCATTTATACTTGCATGCCTTTGGTATGTCATAGTGTAAAGTGTGAAAAGAGGCATGTTTTGCTTATGCAACAAAGATATATTGTAAAATGTAATGGAAACATTTGTCTGTGCCCCCCGCTGCTGGAGCAGTGTGCCCAAGAAGAGTGGGCCAGACTACCTGTTAGGTGAAGAAGTCTCGGAGAGCTACAGAAATCGTTGTGCAACAAAGTATTAGGTTAAAGGTCCCATCATTTTTGTACATGCCATTTTTGATTTGTTTTATGATTTAAAATATTAAAAGCAGAGTCTGCTTTTTATTAAATATGGAATAAACAATGATAGGTGCAAATTACTTTTGTCAGTTTAAGTTATTTTACATAGTTACATAGTATTTGAGGTTGAATAAAGACATTAGTCCATCAAGTCCAACCTATTAGGATCTCGTTCTAGGAGTAACTGTACCCCTGTATATTACGGTCCCTTAAAAAATCATCCAAATGTTTCTTGAACAATTCCACGTTTTTTGCTGAAATCACCGCCTGTGGCAGTGAGTTCCAGACCCTAACCGCTCTAACTGTGAAGAACCCCTTTCGCCCCTTGTGCTGGAATTTTTTTTCCACCAATTTTAGGTGGTGGCCTCTAGTTTTTGTAACGGAGTTAATTTTAAATTGTTTATCGCCAATGTTGCTATCACCATTGAACATTTTGTACATGGAGATTTGATGATTGAAAAAGTTGACAATGTCGATTAGTTGTTGCAGCCCTACATATCACACTGTCAACAGTGCTTAAAACATTCAGTTTTTATTTTAATGGTTTAAACCTGCTGCTGTACCTGTACCTAAAAAGTGTTCGCTGTAATTGGGTTTTAATTTGTTTGCCACTTATTAAAGTCTATTTAAAGCTACCTGTAGATATGAGACTACCCCGTCCACAGGCGACAAAGCTGCTACACAATTTTATTGCAGAATGAACAGTGTTGTCACCCTGATAAAGGAAGAGGTAAAATATTGAATTCATTTCCAGGATCAACACGTAAACCGCGAGCTGTGGTTTCCATCCTGAGAGACCTATATCACTGCTGTGTCCTGGAGTGATCTAGGGGTCAGAGGATGGAAGCATAGTGCATGGCAGTGGAAACAGGCATCTGACACTCCCGGAAATGCTGAATAGTTTGATAGAGGCTGGAATAGCGCAATGGTAGGTTGCCAGACAGCCAAGTTTAAAAGCTCTTCTATTAAAAGGAACTGCTATTTTTATGTGACTGACTGGGTCATTTTAATGAGTAAATAGCCGCATTCACTTGTATCTTTATTATTTGCCTAATGTTCACCTTTAAGATAAACCCAGTTCTGTTTGCATTTCTTTACGTTTTTACTCTAATGTGGCAGGTAGAACAGGCATACTCATCTGTTTCATGGTCATGTAGCTAGTTAGTTGTGTCATCGATATGTGTTTGTAGTAACATAACAAGCTTTTTTTTCTTTTTTTTTATATTTAGCTAGTGCAAGATTTGCTGAAGAACCTGCCACAAATGTTCACAAAGTCTTCTGAAACGCAAAGTGCGCTGGGACCAGCACTCCAAGCCGCTTATAAGCTGATATCACCCACTGGTGGACGTATAACTGTATTCCAAACACAACTGCCAACTATAGGAGCTGGAGCACTAAAACCCAGAGAGGAACCCAACCAAAAATCCAATGCTAAGGTGATGCGGATTTCAGATTTTGTGGCACCATATATTCCTTTATTATAATGCTTGATTTATAGTAGCCATTGATGTCAAAGGGGAAACATGCACTATCCAATTTATTGTATTTTAAATCAGTTTAGGACTGGGTGTATCTAGTATGCCCTAAAGTCTCACTGCTGGGTGTGCTCGAGTGGATGTAGCTGCTACGGCTCACTGTAAAGTTGACACTTGAAATCATGGTTGATGTAACAGAGCCACTGTCAGAAACTGTTGTTTATTAACCAGCTTGTTAGTTACCAGCATTATTTACATTGTAAACATTGTGTTAGCTGCAGCAGACTTGATGGTAAACTGTTGCTGGTTTTTTTTTTTATCCGTCTTGCTTATTTGAACCCCTAATGAGTTCTTGCTAACAAGCGCTAATTGAAGTATATGTCAGGGCAAAAGAAAACATATGCAGCACATCTCTACTAAACATGCCCAAGTTGTGTCTCTTTAAAAAAAATGTCTAAAGTACAAGAACATATGGACTGATCTGCCAGCAATCCAGTGACATCCTACATGTAATGGGTTACTTTTTCTTAAACAAATTAGCTTTGGCAATAAAAGTTAGTCATTGCAGCATCATAGCAGATACAAGGGGTGATCTCTGCAGAGAAGATAACATGATAAACCCATACATAAAATCGCTTTTTAATTTTAGAATGTTATCATAATAGGATATCCACAATTTGACACCAGCAACTGACTTCTACAAGAAGTTGGCCTTGGATTGTTCAGGACAACAGGTTGCTGTGGACCTATTCCTTCTGAGCGGACGGTACTCTGATTTGGCCTCCCTTGGTATGTCTCAAAGCTTGCCTCCAGTTAAATAGGTTGATTGTGTATGGGTTCAGACTGACAGCTTGTATTTTACTGCTGTTTCAGGTTGCATTTCTAGGTATTCAGCTGGTAGTATTTACTATTATCATGGTTACCATTATCGGCACAATCCTGTGCAAGTTGAAAAGCTGCAGAAGGAACTGAAGCGATACCTGACCCGTAAGATTGGTTTTGAGGCTGTCATGAGGATCAGGTGTACAAAAGGTTTGTAAGAAATCACTTCTCTCCATGGTAACACAATAAAATAAGCATATACTTGCTACGACTAAATCCCAGTCATAACTTGCTCGAAAAGCCACTGCGTGCAAGGTGCCCGGCAGAAAACCCACAATATGCAAATCTTAAAGCCATTGCTAAAAAATACCCCCAAAAAAACCCACAATGTAATGCTGAGCCTCAACCTATTGAAGGCACCGCACATTGCTTTTTGGGTTGCACAGTATCTTAGTATCAACTTTTCTGAAGCCGAGAGTAGTATATTGCAGGAGACTCTGGGTTTCAGGGATCCCAGCACACCCTGTAGCAATGGATGTAAAAAGCTATACTAACTGTCAACTAGTATCTAGGCATGTGTCTATTTTAAACTGTCCCATTTATTAATACATTTTTCTTTTATTTACCATTATTGGAGTTTAATCAGTGACTTTCTATTTCTGCATTATTTTAATTTACATTACAAAGGACTGTAATTTCATCTTTAGACAAAGACTGTATTCCTTTTATTAACACAAACATTTTGACAATTTTTTTTCAGGCCTTTCTATTCATACGTTCCATGGAAACTTTTTCGTACGTTCTACAGATCTACTGTCACTACCCAATGTTAATCCTGATGCTGGCTACGCTGTCCAGATGTCTGTGGAAGAGAATTTGACAGATACACCTTTGGTCTCCTTTCAGTCAGCTCTTCTATATACTTCAAGCAAAGGTTTTCATTTTGTCTTATTATTTTATAGCTGTTGTTAACCAAATCACATACACATTTTAGAAACAATTTTGAAGAATATTTTTATACTTTCAAATGACTTAATATTTAACTTTGTTGTACAAGCCTTTTTAGATACTACATACATGGAAGTGCCAAAGGGGTGTCTGGCACAAATTGCTCAGATAGGGCTGAAAGGCTGTACTGGAATGAATGATAAAATGCACGCAAGCATTTAGTAACATTATGGCATAGGGAAACTAACACCACATTGCAACCAGCTCTTGTGCCTACAAGCTATGAAATTATCAGTAGTGCAAAATTTAGAACCTTTTCATAGATTCTAGCTTGTGGATTGTGCATCTTGATTATGGTGCAGCCAATTGTAACTCGTACTTTTTTTAAAAAAATTTTAAACTGATGTTTATGCCTTCTTGTTTACATCAGGAGAGCGGAGGATCCGTGTGCACACAATGTGCCTTCCTATCGTTTCAGCACTGTCTGATGTCTATGCTGGTGCTGATGTGCAGGCTGTGATTGGACTGTTAGCAAACATGGGTATGTGTACCAAGAAGATATTCTCTTTAAAATAATATGTCATTGAACATTTAATGGAAAAGTCAGTTTTGTATGGATGGTTCTAAGTAGGACCCAGAAGTATACCTGTACTAGGAAACATTCAAAAAAGTGTAAGGTACTATATGGTAGATGTTTTAGGGTGTCAGAATGTACCTGTTACAAAAAAATGTTTCAACATATGCCAGTTGTCCTCCCTTGCAGAAGTTGATTTGCAAATATTGACTTTAAGAATGTCTCTATTAGCAGAGTTGGGGGTCCCAGTGTTTCCTTTACTGTATGTTCTCAGTGTCATTGTCAGATGAAAACAAATTTTCAAACTACAAAATTGACGGAAGTAATATTACCTTATGCATTCTCATAGTTATTTTTGTCTTATCTACCATCAAAATGTTTTAATCTAAAATGTGTTGAACTTTATCAATATGTCTTTTTGTTTAATCAATTTTATTGATTTTGAAAATTCTGCAAACGTAAATAGCTTATACAAAAGTCCAAAAGCTGTACGTACAGCTTAATAAAGTCAGATGTACATGGAAATCATACATTGTTGTGTATAAGTACAGACATATCAAACGTAAATATTAAACCATACAACTGTGACTTAATCAACGGCTATCGTATATCTTAAAAGGGGTGGTTAAGCCACCCTTCAGGCACTGCCCGGAGACAGATCCAGTGAAGGAGACACATTGCAAGGGAAGAGCAAGAGAGGAGAGCGGGAGTGGTGGGGAAGTTGGATAATGAGCGAGTCCAGATGAAAGGTTGGTGACATGTAGGAAGCGATCCAAGGTTCCCAGATTTTTTTCAAATTTTGTTAGAGTATCTGACTGAACAGCTGACAATTTTTCAAAAAACATTACCTGCGAGACTCTAGGTTTGACCTCCGCAAAGGGGACCGTGGGAGATCGCCACGAGCGTGCAATCACTCTCCTGGCTTCAGTTAAAATATGAGTGACCAGTTTAAACTGGGTCCGCGTGCATGACACTGGCTGTTTGCCAAGCAGTGCTTCAATCGGGTTTTTACGGAATGAATGACCTGTCACCGTATAAATCAACTGATACACCCTAGACCAGAAACGCCGAATCCTTGGACACTCCCACCGTATATGAATGAAAGAACCATCAGCCTGGCATCCTCTGAAACATGATGGAGACCTGGAGGGAACCGCACGGGAGATACGGAGAGGAACCAAATACCACCTTAATAAAAGTTTATAGTTTGCTTCCACTGCTCGCACACTAGAAGAACTCTTTGCAGTCGTGTACCAGATTTGGGACCATGTGTCCATTTCGATGGGTCCCCCCAGTTCCTGTTCCCATTTTGAGGCATAGGGAGGAAGCTCCTGTTGTAGAGAGTCCATCAGAGCATCATAGAGGTGAGCGATAAGGCCCGGGCTCTGTGACTGAAGCAGCAATCATTTTTCAAATGGGGTCATTACTGTCAGGTCTCGGGTCAGTCCCGCACACTGCTGCAAATAGTGTTTAATCTGTATAAATTGGAACAGGTCTCTGGTGGAAAGCTGATGTTTCCCTTGGAGCTCCGGGTATGAGACAATACCTGTTGAAGTATAAAAATGTCTAGCCTGAACCAGGGAACGTGCCCTCCATCTACTGAAGGCTGTCTGTTTCTCATAGCCTGCGGGGAACAGGGGATTCCCCTGTATGGGTAAAAGGGGGGTGTGAGGGGAGATCCATTTCTGAATCACCTTAAGGGCGTCCCAGAGACGGAGTGTATGTTTCGTGATTGGGCGTGTGACTATTTTCCGCATTTTGGGGGGTTACCATGGCAAATTATTCAATAGTATGGGGTCGCACACATATGCCTCCACGGAGACCCACAAAGGGACCTCTTTTTTCCGAGTGCCACATAACAAGGGGGACCATCTGTGCAGCCGCATAATATTTTTGAAAGAGAGGGAGACCCAGGCCCCCCTGTAGTTTGGATCGGTATAACACCGAGCAAGCTATTCTGGGAATGGAGCCAGACCAAATAAACCGTAGGATATGGCGCTGGAGAAGACGTAATCTAAAGGCTGGTATCGGTACGGATAGAACTCTGGCGAAGTATAAGAATTTAGGTAGAAGAGACATCTTCACTGCCGTGATTCTGCCTAGCCAAGTCAGATGATGTTTAGCCCATGAGCCCAGTATCGAAATTAAGTGAGCAAGTAATTTGGGGTGATTGGCATTATACAGGGCGTCCCACGTCGGAGTTAGATGAACCCCCAAGTAGGGGAGAGCATGTGGTACCCATGCATAGCAATATGTCTTTTTAAAGCTGTAGTGCACAGTGCCATGTATTTCCTCTATAGCCAATCCCATTATTTCAATCAATATTTACACGTTAATATGTGTAATTATAACAAGTTAGAAACCCTCTCACTTTGCCCATTAATTGCAAAATGACAGTGTCTCCCACTAGCCCACCCCACCCAGCAAGGTACAGTATACCTTCTGTACCATGCTGCTTTGCCTCTGAAGGCTTCTACTTCCTGGGCAACATGTGTCAGTGCTCATACTTGAGCGGCTGATAGCCACCTTGGTAAGCTCCAACACCCAAGCCTACTCAGGGAGGCAGAGAGGAATTGTGTGCAAGTTTATTACCGTATATACTCGAGTATAAGCCGAGATTTTCAGCCCATTTTTTTGGGTGAAAAGTGCCCCCCTCGGCTTTTACTCGAGTCAGCGACAGCACGTCTTCTTACTTACCTCGCCGAGCGTCGCGTCACTGCTGCTCCGGTGGGCGGCGCTCCGAGCGGGGTCATCTGGCAGTCTCCGGGTCCTAATTTAGGTGGCCGGAGACTGCCAGATGACCCCGCTCGGAGCGCCGCACACCGCAGCAGCAGCGACGCTCGGCGAGGTAAGTAAGAAGAAGAAAAAACCCCCCGCAGCGGCCAGTCAGGCAGGGGAGCAGGGATGAGTCAGCGGCGCGCTGATCAGGCGAGAGGAGCTCCAGGTGGGGTTGTAATTTAGCGGGCAGGCACCTCTGAGCCAGCTAAATTAGGACCCCACCTGGAGCTCCTCCCACTGGACCAGCGCGCCGCTGACTCGTCCCTGCTCTCTCCGTGATGTGATGATCGATCACCGGCACACGGACACAGTGAGTGAGGGCGGCGGGGGGGGGGGGGGGAGAGAGAGATTCATTAAGCAATTATATATGTATTGTCTGCACTGTATTAGCAGTATATACTCTATATAGAGTATATACTGCTAATACAGTGCAGACAATACATTTACAATTATACTAACATGAATGTATTAAATGATCTGTATGTAGCCCTGTACTATGGATCATTTAACCCATTCATGTTAGCAGAGGATCATTGTAAATGTATTGTTGCAGGCACTCTATATGTATATGTACTATATACTACATATAGAATGCACTGAACAATAGATTTACAATTATCCTCTGCTAATATGAATGGGTTAAATGATCCGTAGTACATGATATGTAGCCCTGTACCCCCTTTTCCACTTACAGAGCTAGGTTATTTTTCTTTTAAATAAATATTAATGTAATTTTATTGGTATCTATCTACCAGTAGCTGCCTCATTTCCCACCCTCGGCTTATATTCGGGTCAATACTTTTTCCCAGTTTCTTTGGGTAAAAGTAGGTACCTCGGCTTATACTCGGGACGGCTTATACTCGAGTATATACGGTATTCTATTATTCTGTAGCTCATACCAGGGAAAAAAAGCGTTGGGTGCCTGCAGTCTTACACAATGTACATTTAACTGGTGATTTATTTTGATTGCATGTCTTGTTTTAATATAGGTTTAATATGCCACCTTTTGCCAAAATAATATTTACCAGTTGGCAACGTATGAACTGAGTAAACGAGATACTGGGGAGAATTTACCAAGACTGGAGCAGACAGAATCTAGAGCCAGCTGTGCATAGTAACCAGTCAGCTTTTATCTTTTAACTTGTTCAGTTCATCTTTGAAAATGAAAGCAAGAAGCCGATTGGTAGTCATGCACAGCTACTCCAGATTCTGTCTGCTCCAGTCTTGGCAAGTTCCTCTGTGTATTTTAATGCGCTTATTTAATACAAAATAGTTTTATTAATGCTTAATGTATTCAATTTTCTACTTCTAGCTGTAGACCGGTCCGTGGCTTCAAGTTTGAGTGATGCACGGGATGCTTTAGTTAATGCAGCAATTGACTCTCTTTCTGCATATCGCAGTTCAGTGCTTACTGTACAGCAGCCTGGCCTCCTGGCACCACACTCATTGTGTCTCTTTCCTATGTTTGTGCTGGCTCTCTTAAAGCAGGTTAGTAGTTTTCATTTCATTCATGTTCAAACCATTTGTGCATGCACCTTATTGGGATATGGAGCATATGCATATACAATCGTGTGAAAAGGAAAGTAACTCTCTTTAAATTCTATGGTTTTAAGCACCTTGCTTAAAGTGACATTAAAGGCAAAAACTTTTTTCCCTGCCCCCAATGTTAATTAAAGCACTTACCTTAAATTATGTCTCTTAATCCGATCATCTTCTTTCCTGTCCTTTTCAGCCTTCTCTCCAGTGCTGCTGCGGGTCTCCGATCCAGCGCTGACTTCTCTGTCCTTGCTGGCACTTCCTGTCCCTCGATGTCTGCATGCAGGTGCACGCGTCCATAGACTTGCCTTGTGTCTCTCCTTGTCTCCCGGCCGAAAATCCGAACTACGCCCGCCCCAAGATGCTTTGCGACCACCTGCGCATTTTCGGATTTTCGGACAGGAGCGCTCAGGGAAGATACAGGTAAGTTTTTAAACCGCTTTTCAAGCTTTTTTTTTTTTTTTTCCAACTTTTTGCATATATCTACTGCTTGCTAGCTGTAGATATATGCAAAAACGCCGGAAGGGTTTAGAAACCCTTTAAAAAAATCGTGGTTCTTAGCAAGTCTTAAAATTAGGTAAATACAACCTCAGATGAACATCAACACTTGACACATATTGCATTGCAATGTGTCATTATTTTTCAAACAGACAAAACGGAGAAGCTATGTGTGAAAAAACTAAGTACACCTTATGGTTCAATAGCTTGTAGAACCACCTTTAGCAACAATAACAATAATAATAATTAAACGTTTTCTGTGTGACATCATCAGTCTTTCACATCATTGTTAAAGAATTTTGTCCCACTCTTCTTTACAAGGTTGCTTCAGTTCATTGAGGTTTGCAGGCATTTGGTTAGGTTTACATTTGCTCTCTTAATGTCCCACTACAGCTTTTCAATCGGGTTGAGGTCTGAACTTTGACTGAGCCATTGCAATTTTTTTTTTTTTTTCTCAGCCCTTCTATTCTAGATTTGCTTGTCTGCTTCGGATCATTGTCCTGTTGTGTTTTTTTCAGCCCTTCTATTGTAGATTTGCTGGTGTGCTTGGGATCATTGTCCTGTTGTGTGACCCAATTTTGGCCAAGCTTTAGCTGTCTGACAGATGGCCTCACATTTGACTCTAGAATACTTTGCTATACAGAGGGGTTCATCTCCAGTTTGGTGTCCAGGAGGACATTGTTCTGGATGTTTTGTGGTTTGTTCAGATATCACTTTGCAAAACTAAGCCATGCTGCCATGTTCTTTTTAGAGAGAAGAAGCTTTTTCCAGGTAACCCTTCCAACAAACCATAATTGTTCAGTCTTTTTCTAATTGTACTTTCATGAACTTTAACAATTAACATGGTAACTGATTCCTGTAGAATCTGAGATAACTCCTTGGGGTTTTTTAATTTTTATTCAGTTATAAACGAAACCAGAACAAAACAAATAACATAAGACATTATAGGGAAATAAAACATCAAACTTGACAATATCACAATCAATCAGCATATTCAGATGTGGAAAAGCATCACTGTCAATTGCATAACTACTGATCAGTTGTTACGTAGAGCAGCACCACTATCTGGAACCTTCCATCTAGTCACATGCATCAAGTAGGAACAAGAAACATGCAGTACCCAAATAGTCCTGGAATGCAGTTACCGAGAAATGAGTCTAATATTACAAGATATGACTCAACTGCTTGTATCCCAAAGTAGAAATAAAGAACTGGGAAGCACAAAGTAACAATATTTCCGTGGAAGGAAAAGGTAAGCGGCACAGGTATTTGACAGTATAAGTAGTGCTGAGAGCTCTCATAAGAGCACAGGAACTGAAGAGAAAAAGATGCAGAGAAAGAAAAGTGGAGGAAGGGAGAAGAGAAGGAGCCTGGAAAGAGAGGGAGCCTGATGAAAAGGGGATCCTGCGTGGCTTGATGAAGGGGATCCTGCGTGGCCCCGAAAGCGCTAGTGTTGGTGGCATGACGTTCCAATAAATGACCTTTTTGGACTACAACATTGTTGGTGTGCTGGTGACATCTATCCATTTTGTACTGAGCGGCGCCATGCTTGGTCACTGCGAGCACCCCCACTACCTCATCCAATTTTGGGGGTTTTTTCCGGTAAGGAGTGCGATGAGGTATCTTTTTCGTTTGGAAAGAGAGGGAGACACCAGAAGAATGCCCGAGGGATCAGCAATCTATCATCCTTAAAGAGAAGCCTTCCATCAACCCACTTAACTAGTGACCATCGACCTGAGAACAGGTAAGACAAAAACTACACAGGGTTGGTCCTACAGAGGAATTATCTGAAGGTATTTAGGCATGGTCTTAAAATACAACCACAGCATCCATATGCTGTGGAAACATTCCTCTGCATTATGCAGGGTAGAGGTCAGATCCTCCATACGGCAAATCTCCACTTTGGCAAACCACATCTTAGTCAACGGTGGGCGAGTTTGTCTCCACAATAAAGGAATGCCTAGTTGCATTAAGAAAATGTACTGTAAAAGTACGCGTATACTGGGAAATCGATAATACGGACATATGTAGAAGGCATGCCGCAGGGTTATTGGACAGATCAACTAATACCATTTCCAAAAAGGTGAACTTCCAGACAATGCCAGAAAATGAGACTTGGTTTCAACAGCTGAAATAAATCTCCAGTAGGTACAAGGGATTTTGCTGCCAAATTTGTGGAAAACTGAAGGGACCATATACCATATAGTCAACATTTTGTACCTTTTGTTCTTGAAAACTGCTTGCTATGGGTGAAGTAGAGAGCAGATTCTTGCTGTTGTGGTATAAATACCTGTCCCATTTCTGGTAAGCCCCTACTATTTTTTGAAATGTTCAAGATCCCAAACCCTAACCTGGGGGATCGGCCTACCCAAACAAAGTTCAAGAACATCTGCCAAAGTCGACCAGAAAAGGTCAGTGGCAGTTTAATCAGAAGTGCCTGGAGTAGATACAGGATCCTGGGAAGAACTGTCATTTTGGCAGAGCTACATCACCCTAGCGAAGAGAGGGTAAGCTCTTGCCACGCCGTGCGCTCCCCTTTGATTTTGGCAAGGAGTGGAAGAAAGTTTGCCTTGTAAAGCCTGCTCAAATCCGCCGTGATAAGAGTGCCCACATACTTAATGCCACGGTCTGACCAGCGAAACAGAAACTGGGTTGTAAGAATAGACCGGACTCGATCTGTGAGGGTGATATTCAGGGACTCTGACTTTGAAGGGTTGACTTTGAAGTTCAACAAAGCCCCGCATTCTTGTAGTATGGAGGATAGGGAGGTGTGTGGATGGGAAATGAAAAACATGAAATCATCTGCATGTGTTCCATACCTCCTATGCGTAGTCCTGTTATATTGGCATTAGAACAAATCGAGCACAGGAAGGCCTCCAGAGTCAAAATAAATATGAGCAGGGACAGCGGACCCGAATCGAGTCCCGTTGATGTTTACCGCTGCCGATGGATGAGTACAAGGCTGAAACCCACTTACACATATTAGGCCCAAGGCCAATGTATCGAAGAGTGGACAGCATAAATTGCCAGCCTATCCTATCGAAAGCCTTCTCAGCATTGGCAGAGCGCAGCATCAAAGGACAAGGCAGAGCGCAGCATCAAAGGACAAGGCCGAGCACGAGCTAGATGGATATTAAGGGATCGGATGGTATTGTTCCGCGCTTCCCAAAAATGTACAAATCCCACCTGGTCGTAATGTACGAAGGGTGGTAGGAAGGGCAGAAGTCGGTTGGCTAAGATTTTAGCAAACAGTTTGAGATCCACATTTAGTAGTGCAATTGGACGATCACTGCTGCATTGGTATGGTTCCTTATCCGCTTTTTGTAGCAATGTAATATGAGCACAGAGGGAGTCTGCAAGTAAAGGAGAGAGTCCTGCAGCACAGCCTTAAACCTGTTCAGAAAAGGAGTATTAAGGAGGGAGGGGAACATCTTATAATATGCCATGGTGAAGCCGTCCAATTTCTTTCCCCTTCTTTGATTGTTTAATGGCCAACTTCGGCTCCTCTTCTAAAGAGGGGAGCCTCTAAAAAGTTACAGTCTGTAGTGCTAATCAATGGCATGCCTGAATGGGCAAGATGATCTTCTGTAACCTGGGAGCGAGCAACTGCCTGGGACGTAGTCATCAAAGGCCTCGAGTTACAGAGCTGCTTGTTGAAATGAGCAAACTCCAAGGATATACCTGCAAAAAAGGACAGTTTGGCACCCGGGGATGATTTGATGCAAGAGACAAAAGGTTTAAAACGCATACCACGGAGGGCCCCAGCTAAAAGCCTGCCTGGTTTGTTGGGGAAATTCATAGAACGTCCTCTGGCCTGCCAACTAACGTTGTTTGGTATGGTGGAAAAAAAAGAATTAAGGGCATCTCGCCTATGAACAAGATTTGCCTGGGTAACACGAGCCGCTGACTTTTTGTGGACGGACTCCAAATGACACACGCTTGTACAGTCGGGCAATCTGTTCACCTCTCTCCCTCTTAAGTCTGGCACCATGTTTAACCAACACCCTGAGGATCACGCACTTGTGTGTTTCCCAGATTAACAGAATAGAAGCAGGAGAGCTATTTTGGCAAAAGCAAGAGCAGAGTTCACTCTCCACGTTTGCCTGATCATTGGATCCTGAAGGAGAGATTCATTGAGCTGCCAAGTTGGCAATCTGGTGGAGCATGGCACACCATGGGAAGACGGGAGTACGTCTGGTAGATCTCGGGTTATTTGCAATTTCTAGTAGATTTGCTGGTGCGATTGGGATCATTGTCCTTTTGCATGACCCAATTTCGGCCAAGCTTTAGCTGTCTGACAGCTGGCCTCACATTTGACTCTAGAATACTTTGGTATAGAGGGAAGTTTGTGGTCGACTCAATGTCTGCAAGGTGCCCAGGTCCTGTGGCTGCCCAACAAGCCAAAATCAGTACCCCTTCACCACTGTGCTTGACAGTTGATATTACTTATTTGTGCTGATGTGCTGTTTGGTTTTTGCCAAAATGAAACGCTGTGCATTATGGCCAAACATCTCCACTTTGGTCTCGTCTGTCCAAAGTTCCAGTGGTTTTGTGGTTTTTTCAGGTGCAACTTTGCAAACCAAAGCCATGCTGCCATGTTCTTTTTAGAGAGAAGAGGCTTCGGCTGCTTGCAGCCCTTCCAAACAAACCATTCTTGTTTAGTCTTTTTCTAATTGTTCTGTCATGAGCTTTAATATGCAGAGGCTTGTAGAGTCTGAGATGTAACTCTTGGGATTTTTGCAATTTCTCTGAACATTTCAGTCTGGGTGAATTTGTTAGGACGTCTACTCCTGGGAAGATTGGCAACGGTCTTCAGTAAGGGTGTACTAAAGGTGGTAATACACTAGTAGATTTTCGTTCTAAAGGTTTCGTTTCTGCTTCGAACCCTTATTCAATTTATACCTTCAATTCCCCATCTAGCATAGTCAAATGTCGATTTCAGAAATCGTTTGTTAGCCATACTAACCAATTTTTGACGAACGATGGAGATTTGACCTATGCAAAGAAAATATTAATTTACCTAGGCAGCTTTCCTTTTGCGCATGGGCTGTTTTCTTGTGGAGATTTTAGACAAACGAAAACCCCACTCATTTGTCAAATTTTTGTTCAGTCAGAGAAAAATTTTCCAACCTGACCCATACATAAAATGTTGTTCTCATTAGCAAAATGAAAATTGGTGCTGTATTATCAACTATTCGATTTCCGTTTGAAAGATTGTTCGTATACGATTTCCAAACGAAAATCTAACAATGTATGGCCACCTTTTATTTTTTCACACATGGCATGGAGGGTGGCTACTTTTTTCCTCATAGTCCTTGTGTGTTGTAAAGTAGCCACCGTTCCAAGCTCACTCCTGTGAGGGACTAAAATCTCAGCAGACCACATGTTAAATCTTAGTCGATTACAGGAGCAAGCTTGGAGCAGTGGCTAATTTACAACAAATGCAGGGACCATAGGATATAAAAGTAGCCACCCTCCAGAAGGAAGGACAGTGTAAGCACAAATTCAGAGATGTATGGAGGATCTACATCTGAGCAACAGACAAATAAGGTAATTCTTTTTTTTTTTTAAATAGGTAAGTTACTTGAATGCATTTTTAAGATTTAACTCCAGAGTTTGTCACTTAAATGCATTGTGCAATCTATAACTTATTGCAAATGGGGCTATAAATCACAGGACAAACCCTCTTAATCATTGTTAAATTCAAAATACTTGCAATACTTTATAAACAAATGCCTTGTCACAACAGATATCGTGTTGAAGAGATACTGTGTTGCCAGCAAAAGGCATTAGTGTGAATTCAAATAAAATGTAGGATCAAGTATGTGCCTGATGTTTCCCAGGCACTAGAGACCAAATCTTTCAACTACCAATGTGGTTTGTGAAATGCCAGGTCAGCAGTTGTGTGTCAGCTTAAGAAATAGGAACCAAAACAATAATATGTATAACATAATTTGTAGTAGTTCACCATGCTTTTTCCTTTTTTTTATATATACAGAAAGCCTTTCAGACTGGTACAAATGCAAGCTTGGATGAGAGAACGTACGCTATGTGCCAGATCAAGAGCCAGCCACTCATATACCTTATGCTCATGACACATCCAAACTTGTACAGAGTGGACAATTTATCAGATGAGGTGTGTCCTATTTTTAAATGTTTTATATATATATTTAAATAATTTGTATAAAAAATACTAGTCACCAGAAACAGAACCCCCCTCCCCCAGCCATGAAGCATTGTTTTTGTAACAGCCTATTTTTAAATCACACAATAGATAAAGTTGGTGTTGATTCAGGCATAGAATTACCTTCTGTACCTTGTCATTGGTGTATGTGGGGAAATCCACTTTTGTGTAATCAATTTTGCAGTGAGAAACAATGTTCCACGAAGCCGCAATCTCAATTCAACTTTAAAAAAATGCTTTGCAAATAATATTGATATGCTAATAAGTCTTTCCAAAATCTTACCAGCTTGGGACATCTCCAGATAAGGAGAGTACAATCTCTTGGTACCGGTCCACATTGAAATGACTTTAAATACAATTGCTGGAATCGTTAAAACCCTCGTTTCCAAGGGTCAAGTCCCTTCAACTTTGCCACCTAACTATACATGAAGTTACCCCAAGTTGGTGTAAAAGAATTGTAGAAACCTTGCCATAGGCTGCAGTGTCCCTAGTCTAAATTTAGTAAACAGCTAGGCTGTAGTCAGCCTGAGCTCTGATTGTTGTTCTGTGCTTGTTAGGTTCCCCTAAGTTAGACTTGTACTTCTGCCGGTTGCTGGGGAGTGTTCTCCAGTAGCTCAAGAAACAAAGTTCTGAGTTAATATTTATTTCTCAGTGGTACATCACTAGGGAGTTTATTGCCAGTGGTGCATGCTGGGGAAGGGAATAAATATTTGGGGTGACCTTCCTGAAGGTTTCTTTGCCTCCCGGGTTTGAGTCAGTCTGTCTCCTGACAGAAGATATGCCTTTTGTCTCCCAGGCTTGCTGTGTGGGGAGGCTACTGCAGAAGTTGGATTGTGTTGTAGAGCCTGATTTTTGTTGTCCTGCTGGAGGGTACATCCATAGGAAGCAGAGCAGGAAAAGAGCTGCCTGTATGGAGCATCTTAGGAGGAGTCATCTGTGCTGAAAAGTGTCATGGAGAGCTATCTAATAAAATATCAGTGGGTTGGGGATAGCTATATTTCCCCCATCGGTGGGGTGATGTAGGGTAGGGAGTGTTTTTTTCTTCTATATAAAATCTCTAAATATACGATTGATTGTTCTTACAAGTACTCTGTGCAATCCATACTTGCAAATTTTGAAGTACATAATAATTGAGGCATCTAAATTATCTTTATTAGGTTGGATCTGCCAGCTATAGACAAAGGAAGTTTTACACCACAAGTTACATTGTGCATGAAAATTGTCAATAATGGATCAGCATTTAATGACATGTATAGTTTAATATAAATAATGGATTTCAATTAATGGGTAACAATACAGACTCCAATTAGTAATCCTGAAAAGTGGCCAAAAATATACATTTATATTTATAGCATTTTCTAAAGAGTGGCTTGTATCCCCTAAAAATAGAAAAACATAATCAGCATATAGTGCTATTTTTCCTCCTATATGGCCTTGTTTAAAACAATTAACGTCCAAAGCCTGTCTGATCCTTACTGCCAATGATTCAATGGCTTGTGTGAATAAAAGTGGAAATAAAGGACATCCCTGCTAACTACCATGTTTCAATTTAGATTGATACAACCATTTATTCTAATTCTTATGCAAAAATCCTGATATAGATTTGAACCCACTTTTTGAAACCCACTATTTTCATAGCTGCCTACAAATAGGATGCTATCAAAGGCTTTTATTTGCATCTAGAGATATCACTTTAGCCCGCGTGTTATCTGGGATTGTTTGTAAAAAGGTGTGTTTGAAGTTTATATCATTTTTATGTTTTATGACAACCAAAGCAATATGGTAATATATAATTTAAATATGTGAAGCGGTGCTGTCACAAAACACAGTAAACAAATCATGTGTGCAAAAACCAAATATTATAGTGAACAATACTATTGTGGAAAAAAAAATCAAATTCAATCTTATCAACTGTAAGTGTAAATCAATGGTGATTGTACTATAAAAAAAATGTCAAAAGTGACTAATAAAGTAGCAAACGTCCTGTGTCAGTGTGTTAAACACATATTTAAAACAAAGTGTTCATGAAATCAAATGCAGACAGCTCTCCCATGTCCCAAATGTATGGGGGGAAAAAAAAATCAAAGAAAACAAATGTGTTTTCTTAGTCTTTCTTTGTGCCTCACTCTGCCCAATCTTGTAATTTCTTGTGTATGAAAAAAATCTTTTGCTGCAGTGCTCATAAAAAACACCAGTGCTCTGATAAATAAGGCTCTCGCCTCAGACCCTTGGGTCTCCAAAGCGCTTCTTGTAGGATAAAACTCCTTCACTATTTGAAGCCGTGATCTTCCTTCCTTCAGATGAGACCAATTCTGATCTTAACGTTTTCTCCTCTACCGACAGCCCAACTTCATCTAAAAAAAAAATCTCTCAAAAGACAGAAGTGGAAATCATAGCGCACCGCATATACATAGAAAATATTTTATGAAAAGAATTACACTCACATAAACAAATATAATCGCATATCAGAATCACATAAACAAATATAATCGCATATCAGAATCCATTCCAGGATCGAGAGGTTCGCTCACCTCTCGATCCTGTCACGGCTCTCTGCCGTGACAGGGGAGGGGCTGGATTCCTCCCGATCCGCCAGCGCTGACTGGTGGAACGGACGGGGGGAGGGGGCGGGTACAGCTGGCTCTGCCGCTAGATAGGCAGAGCCAGCTGTCAGTCACGCAGCTGGGCGGATCCCGGCACAATTGTCGGGATCAGCTTCAGCTGCGGCGTCTCAGTATACCGCGAGCAGCTGCTCGTGGTATACTGCGGCGTCTCGGTATACCGCGAGCTACAGCTCGCGGTATACTGAGCCTAGGGTGACGGGAGGACGCTAGTATGGGGAAAAGACTTAACCCCATAGTTCTTTAACCCTTGCTGTGATACCTATATTAACCCATTACAATCATTAATCTTCATACAATCTATACCAATTTTTCGTCTGGAGATCTACTTTTCAAATGACGAGCTCAATGAGATCTACAAACGAAAAAACACCTGCAGGAGGGGGCATGGCGGTGCATTGAAGTCAATGGCACCGCAGGCAGGCCCTTCGCTCACAGAGCGATCGCCTGCACCCGGAACCCAGGCACATTAGTGCCTGTGTTCCAGTCCAGTGCGATCCGCAAAAATGCTGCAATTTTTGCAGATCGCACTGGACCGGAATGCAGGCATGGACCGGGGGGCATGGCTGCGGTGCCATTGACTTCAATACAACCACCTCCCGCCCCTGAACGCAGGGAGGCGGCCGGCTTACATTCCAGTGAGTCCTAGAGGCCCCGGCATCCTGTCCTCCCGTGGTGCTCGTGTGGCAGACGTTGCACATGGGGAGAGGTGTCCTGCCCCTTTCCATCTGCAGCGCCGAGCTCCATTTATCCGCATGAGCACCGCAGGAGCATAGCCGTAGCCAGCTACTTTTGCGCCCAGGCAAGAAAAAAAACAGATGTATTTTTTATTTAAACACACACATTCGTGCCATGGAATAGTGGTTGTTTTAGTAATATTTGTTTGACATTATTTGCTAATTGTATGTTAATGGTGGCATTGGTCTAGATTGTATAAATATTAACGATTGTAATGGGTTAATATAGGTATCACAGCAAGGGTTAATAGAGTGCTTGTATATATGAGCTTAATGAACTCACTGACTCTAGCTTCCTGATGAAGTCAATTAGACGGAACGCGTAGAAGCTGAGTCAGTGACGTCAGAACGCCTAGAGAGAGAGAGAGAGGAAGATAGATCTGACATCCAGGAATAGATTCTGATATGCAATTATATTCATTTTTATGAGTGTAATTCTTTTTTTTATTTATTCCTTGTTAAAGCATGTAAATGAACACATACAGAATATAAAATGGTTAGAATTAACAGTGTCCAACAGCAGACAGTCACAAATTATAAAAGTACATAGACATGCACAATAAAGGACCATTGCGTTGCATAGAAAAATACCCAAGAAAAAATTGTACAAGACTATCGGGATCCTAAGATCACTGAGTAATCAATTAACATTGCATCCACAGTGAGAGGCATGGGAGCTATGCTCCGGAAACATTACCAAATAACTATAAAAAAACAACCATAACCAATGAAAAATAAATTTAGAAACATTTCACCTGGGCCCCTTTCCCCACCTTCTAGATCAGGTGTCCAATATCATATCACTCAACCAGAGAAATGCCAAGTGGGGGGGGGTGAAGAGGCCCAAGTCCTGTGTGATCGGAGAAAGTAGAAGAAAGAACACAGAGAGGAAGAAAACACAAAGGCCAGGGAAGAGAAGGACCTAACGTGACTGGGAACCCCGGGCACCATCCGCCATTACCCCGTCCGCAGCCCCCTGAGGGGCCATGGGCAGAAAGAATTTCTGAGAGCATGCGGGGGACAAAGTGTAGGCAGTCCATGGCAACCAGGTGGACCGAAATTGCTCCTCGGTGTTACGTAATGAGGCAGTCAATTCCTCCATGCGATAAATGTCATCCACAACCGAGAACCACATATGCAGTGTAGGAGGCCTGATCTGCTGCCACAACAGCGGGATACAGGATCTCGCCGCATTGATCAAGTGGATCGCCATGGATTTTCTATATCGTTTGATGGAGGATCTGTGCTAGCACTGGGGCAGGTAGAGAAACATTGAGCTGCTCAGACTTGGTGGGGTTCATCAGAAAGTTAGACAGACTACCATAAAGTTCAAAAGCCCTGAGTAACGCTGGAACAGGAGAGGACGAAGAGCAGGTCATCAGCGTATGCTGCCAACTTGTGCGATCCAGAGGGTAGAGAGATTCCCGTCACTGAGTTGTTAGCCCTAATCGTACAAAGGAAAGGCTCCAATGAGAGGCGATAATGGGCAGCCTTGAGCGCTATGGCCATTTCCTCTGGTGTCAGGGGCAAGCCCAACATATCTCCAACCTCCAGCGTCAAAGAAGGCAGACCAGACCGCCGAAGGTGTTCGTGG